AATATATTTTTTGTGGTTTTAAATTAAAGTTTATAAAAAAAAAAAGAAATGACAAGAATTATTCTTGTTATGTAATGTAATATATATTGAACATAATTTTCTCGATCCATAAGTTAGACGAGATGATTTAACTCTACGTTTCGAAGCGTACGCTATAATTTAAAATAAGATTGCACATTTGGTCGACTTGTTTCAGTTGAACTTTAGATCAAATTTTGCGATGATTGCGCGTCAAGATTACGAGGCTTTACTTTACCATAGGCTGATCTTACTGTTTGAAACAATTCTAATATATTAAATAGATGTAGATGCAAGTACCTCGAGGGTACGATCTCGCGCGATGCAATCTCTTTGACATATAATTGGAACCGTCAACAAAAGAACGTGAAAAGGCAAAAACTGAAATTATGGTGGTTGCATATCCGTCTAGTCATTTTCGAACTGGTTTTCTGTGTTAAATATACATTAGCGTTTCGCTCGACGATAAATCCAATCGAAACACGTATTATAGATTCAATATAAAAAGTTCTTTTAAAATTTCAGACCAATATTGCATCGAGCAATATTTTTTTTTTCATTCATCGCGTTTACGTACAATTGGAATTAGTTCGAATGAATATTGCATAAGGCAATTGTACTACTTTAAATTCCAATCATTCTAAGTAATTCGCTTTTTTGTTAGAGGAATTTTTTGAAGAAAAAGTGTCCTAGTGATCCCTAGTAGCCCTAGGGAACTCTAGCGATCGCGTAGATTTGAAAAGCTCGAGACTCTAAGATTAAATTTCCATTAATTTTCTGTTTTGTAAATTCGAAATAAATATAATTTACACTTTTAATTTATAATTAACTCACATTCTGTAATTCTGAGTCGATGAAATCCAAACCGGGAATACCACTTGGTGCACCACTCGGCCCGGTGCTCACGTATTTTTCCGTGGTAGTTGTCATCGTTCGAGTTGGTGAAATAGGTCTAAAGTCAAACCGATTAAAGAATTTAGTTGTTTATTTTTTTATTTATTTATTTTTTTTTAATCTAAAAAAATTGAAGTCTACCCACCTGCCTTCGGAAACAATCTTGGTAGGATTCGCAGCTACTCGATACTCCACTTGAGGCGAAAGTGCCCTGCCACCGCGACTAGGGGTGGTACTTCTTGAGACACTTGTTTGCAAATCTTCGAGAAGAGCATCTGAAATCATTAAGCAGTTCGTGTATTTTTTTGTATTGAAGATAACGATGTCCTTGTAAACGTGTAGTTTCGATGATAGAAAATAACAGAAAATTATAAAGTAAATAACGCATATTATCTTATCACGAGGAAAAAAATTATTATATCGAATACATATTATATATTCTCGACAAATTTGATCAAATGGATGACTAATTTGATTTTTTGCGAAAAAAGATATTTATATTATGTGCGATTTCTTTGACTCTCGAACGAATAAAGTTATTTTCGTCGTTGATATCATTTAAGTAATTATGTAAAAATTATGAAAAATTGAGAAAACAAAATAGAGAGTATCATCGGTTCTTTTTTCAAAAGAAAATATACCATGTGATTTATTTTATTTTATACGTACGTTAAATATTATTTCTGATTTAATACGATAGCAAGAAAGCTTATATGTAATGACGTAATTTAAAATTGTTTATTGTTTGTATTCCTAACAAATATTTTCGATATAATTTCGTTCCAAGAATCATTCTTCTTAGCGATAGCGCAGAAAGTCAGAATTAGATCGAACAATCTCGTTCGATCGACGATGATCGAGTTTCGTGGTACGAATCTAATCAACTCATCAAATCACACGTATGACACATGCAGAAGGTTGTTCGAAAAAAGAATGAGCCAGGTGGATAGGATTACACCTCTGGTGGCACATTTAAAGATTTACCTAAGTTGTTTTCGAGGCTGTTGGCCGTGGTTGTCGACTGGCTCTGGCCAGATATAGGACCACCATGACTCACGATCTTTCTGCTGGTGTGCGTTGTCGTTCTCTCCCTCACCGCAGCTGACATTGCGCTCTTCTTCAAATTCCCTGCCTCACGAGGTCTGGAGGACAATTTAAACAGAAAAAAAAAAAAAAAATAAGTCAGACGTTGTCTCCGTTT